TCACCCCGGCTGGCGCGTACCTCAGCTGCCCGGCTATCAAAGTTTGCAGCCTCCGTGAATGCCTGCCCGCGGACGGCCCGGGGAGCGGGGCACGGCGCGAGGAGCGACCTGCCCCGGCGGCAGCAAGTGGCTGCGCTCCCGGGCGCGGCAGGGGCGCCTGGCCCGCAGGCTGGCTCCTTAGCACGAGGCCCGGGCTGCCCAGCTGAAGGGGCTCTGCGGGCGCCCCGGCCTGGGGGAAGCCGGCCAGGACTCCCTGGGAGGGTGGGACTGGGCCCTGCTAGGGGCCGCTGCCAGCCCAGCCCTGCCAAGCCTCTTTCAACTTGTCGCCCCCGCCTCGGCTGCCGGGTGTGTGCCCGCACATTAGCATGCAGCCTCTGTCCCGGTGAAAAAGTTCCATCTTGAGGAAGCTGCTTGTAACTGCAGGCCTGCAATTCTTCCCCTTGCTGCCTTACCTGCGTGTAGAGACCACCCTCCCCCCTTGCAAACGGCCGGACTGTGTTAGCTCCACAGGAGAGGGAGAAAACAGGGGAGAAAGGGCTCAGAGGGCCCCTGAAGTGGCAGGTCTGGGCCGGAAGGCTGATCCTGGCTGGGACGTGTCCAGGTAACGTCACAAGTGTAGTCAAAGGTCAAGGGACTCAGCTGAGCCTTGCTGCCTGCCTGGCTTGGCTGGCACTAAAAGGATTGATGTGGCTAGCATCACACCCAGCTGCCCTTGATTTCCTGGCCCAATGACCAGGTAACAGTCAGGAGAGCTGACTCAACTGGGAACAGCTTTGGCACAAGTTGCTGAGGTTCAAACTCACCCTTCCAGAGCTGCACGGTGAGACGCATAATTGCTTTGCCACCATAGTCTGCAAAGGGTCAGTAGGCTCTTGAAATCAATTCCACGTTTTTCTCCCTCTTTACAACTTCCTATGTCAGCCTGTTTTAAGTGAAAGAGCAAGGACTGTTTTCCCCCTCTGTTTTGGTGCCCTTCTCCTCCGAGTGAGTTCTGGCTTCCTTTGAACATTGGTACTAAGGGGGCAAAAAAATTCCTAAGTACACTTTAATGAGCATAGACAATATTGACATCATGCACTCTGTTGTTTGTTACTGCTTAGCTTTGTGCAGTAATGGTCTGCCCCAGGCAAGCCGGAGGGCACTGACAACACTTGATGGGTCTTTTGAACCTGTACCTCCTATTAAGAACCACAGAGACAATTTTTACTACCCTGAAATGGTTTGTAAGAGCATACATTGAAAAATTAATATACTGTTGCTCTGAATATGTTGGTCCTTCAATCATGTAGGTTTTTAATCACTATATAATGGGAAAAACAGGACGCTATGTTATCTTCTCTTCAGTGGCCTTCCCTACCAGAAATCAAGAACACATTTATGTGGGCTAAGCCCTGCAGTCCTGCCTTTATGTGAAGAAAAATCCCACTGCAGTTAGTAGAAGCTTTGTCTGACTGCAAGATTTAACCCCTGAGTGTGTTACTGGTAAGGAGTTGGTTTTTATGCAATGCAGGTTCATATCAGATCTCAGCCAAACTCTAAAGACCTTTCACATTCCAGAGAAAATGTAGGACTGGTTGGCACAATGGAGGGCACAGTGCTAGCCCTCTCTATATAAATTACAAGCCCAGATGCATCAGGAGATCAGTGAGCTATCTGCAGTTTTGCCACTCATCTACCTCTGACCCACTGCAAACTTCTCTACCTGTCCATGCCTTTGCTCCTACTGAGTCTTGTGCATTTAGAGTGGAAGTTCCTCAGGTCAGGGACTATATCAGGTGTTTTGTACAGTGACGAACACAATATGATCCTGATCCTGGACGGGAATTGTGGTCACTAATGCAATTAATGTACAAATTATGGGGATGTATACTGGATTGCTAGCAAGCACATAATGAAAGCATATAATCTTTTTTTTCCCCATGCAGCTGGATATCACCAAGGGCAGAATTTGACCCTGATTAGATAGGACTGATCCAACTCTTGTTGAAATGAACAGAACCTGGATCAGCCCATTAGTTACTAGTGCAGGGATCTGAACCCAATTCAAAGCACCTGTAATCTGCTGCCTATACAACTAACCCCTTGTAGTTAAAATCTGTCTTGGGTAAAATGGCCAGCAGAAGGCCTATATCTTCTTAGATTCTTTCAAACCCCATTTTTAAGTTAAACTAACCCCAGGAAAGCCCATTTCTTAGAGAGTGCACACTTGGCAGTTTCAGTTGTCTTTGAGGTTACTACTCAGCACCTCTGAAGGAAAAAGAAACCCAGATTTCAGTTTTTCTGAGCCACCATTTACCCCAGTGTACAACTGGTATAATATTTACTTATGTCACCATGATGATATTAAATGCCAATCAGTTCATATTTCTACAGCATTGTCACCTAGCCCTTTCACAGAGAGACTGACAAGCAAATGACTATGGCTGATTTTGGTAACATAAGTTATTCTGAAGTAAGGCTCATTAATTTCTGTTGTTAACATTACATTAGTTTTGTGTGGATTGCCACACAACCAGTAGAAATACAATTTCAGCTATCCTTCAGACTCAGGAATTAAAACTCCCACAGCAATAAAACACTTTAAAATCACTTTCAGTTAAAGCTATCTTATATAATAACCACTAGTTTGCAGCTGCATTCACACAGTGGTTTTCAAGAAGAGGTGTCAGTGTTTCTTTGCCAAGAGGTATATTTAAAATTTGTATGAGAGTTAAATTTTTCAAGCAAATATTATAACTACTTTGGGATGGAAGAAGAAAGACTACAGACGATTTGGAAATTCAATGCTTGCATATTTTGTAATGTATTCTGTGAAGTGAAATGTAAAAGTTTAAGTGTTTCATAGTGGAAAAAGAAGAGAACACTATTCACAGTAGCATCTATATTACTGTATTTAATCAAATACAAGAAAAGGTTTTTCCCCCAATCACGATGGGGGAAAAAAAGCCCCTCATCTTACATTCACATACAAGGAAACCCCATTAAATACGTTGTCTATCATAAAACTCTTGTCAAAAGCAGCATGTGCTCAGTAATGAAAACCACCTATAAAGTTGATTAAATACAGCAAAAACAGAGCATGACTATAAAACACATGACCCATATTGGGCAAACATGCTGATGGGAACCTTCTTTTTTTTTACAAAAATTATGTGTGCGCGCACGCGTGTATGTACACTGCATCTTTCCAGTTTTTGAACACATACACCATTACAGTATCGCATACCCATTACAACACATGCACCCCTGCACCTATGCTTCCATTAGTTCTCACTCCCACGCGCCTGTGCACCCATTACAGTTCTTGATCCCACACACCCGTGCACCCATCCACATTCCTTTCATTGTTACAATTACACTGCCCTGCCTCTGCCCTCTGTTCCTTTCTTTAGTCTCTAGTCTTTAGTCCAAGTCATTGTCACTGTTGCTGTCTCCATCATAGGCACTGCTGTCCTTGTTGTCATCATCTCCTTCTCCTCCTCCACTGTCCTCATCACTCAGTCTCCTTTCTACTTCACTGCCCCTGACTTTTTCATGTGTCACTGCTCTCTTCCTTGTGAGTTGTGTTTTTGAACACTCTGTGCCAGTGGTTTCTCTAACAGATGATTTTTGCCACCTCTTCACCATCCTCTTCTACCGTCTTCTGGTATTACATTTTTAGCTCACTCAGTCCCACTTTAACACAGTATATCAGCAGATTTCTGGTCTTCCACAGGGCATTC